AGAAGCAACGCCGAATAAATCCAACTACGGCTCTTGTGGTGAAATAGATTGACAAGCTCAAGAAGACTGGCTTCATCTACGAAGTAGAGAACCATGAATGGATGTTTCCAATTGTGATAGTGAAGAAGAAAAATGATAAGCTACGAGTGTGCATAGATTACAAAAAGTTGAATGCTGTCACAAATAAAGACTACTATACCTTCCCTTTCATAGATGAGATTCTAGGGTAAGTTGCTGGCCATGAGTGATATAGTTTTGGAGATAGATATAGTGGCTATAACCAAATCCAAATTGCCTTAGAAGACCAACTTAAAACAACTTTTACCACACCATGTGGAACCTTTCATTGCTTTTACAATGATGCCATTTGGTCTATGTAATGTTCTCCCTTTTTTCAAAGGTTCTAGAATAGAGTGTTTGAAACTTTCATTTTGAAGTTTGTAAGGGATTTCATAGATGATTTTTGTGTGTACGAGAGGAAAGTGATCATTTGATCAAAATAATTCAACAATTGGAGGAAGCTAAAGTTTCATTCAATCCAAAAAAAAATATTTTTGAATGTGAGGAAGTCTTATTGTTGGGGCATATAATCTCCAAGGATGGTATAACGGTGGATCCAGAGAAGTTGACATTGATCATAGAGTTAACTTTTCTTGTGACTTTGACCAAGTTGAAGCAATTCCTTGGTATGGTGGGATACTATCGATGGTTCATCTCGTACTTTTCCAACAAAGTTCATGCTTTGACAAATTACATGAATAAGAAAGTGGAGTACGAAGTCATTTTCAAGTATGAAGCAGCAAAGATGGCGTTCGAAGTTCTCAAGAAGGCGTTGGTGACGACTCTAATTTTGGCAAAACCAGATTGAATTAAACCTTTCATTCTTTACACATATGCATCAAATATTGCTGTAGTATGCACCTTGAGTCAATTAGATGATGAAGAACATGATCATCCAATGCTAGTAGATAGATGGTTCGAGCGGAGAAAAACGACTCAGTGACATAAAGAGAGGTCTTGGCTGTAATCTTTTCATTTAAGAAGTTTTGACATTATTTGTTGGATGGAAGATTCACTATAGTCACTGATCATAACGCTTTGAAATACATTTTCAACAAGCCTAATGCTGAGGGGAGTATAGCTAGATGGAAGCTACTACTAGCAAAGTTTGATTATATCAATGAGTATAGATCGGGAAAGAAGCATGCTAATGCGGATTTGATGTCAAAATCATATGATGATGGAGGAGATCACTCCGTAAATGACACCTTTCTTGATGAGGACTTGCTGGTCATGAACACGGTGACAACCATACTAGAGGAGTACAAGGAAATTTGGGAATTCATCTCTAGAAATGTGTTTTCTCAAGGAATGCATCAAAGGGAGAAAAATGCATTAGTGAAGAGATGTCAACCTTACATGATCATGGAGAATATACTTTTTCATCAAAGAGCTGACGGACTTCTACAAAGGGCAGTTGGGAGAAGAGGTACACTACAACTCGTGAAAAAAGTTTCATGATGGTGAAGTATGTGGATGACATTTTGCGGGGAAGGTAACTACCTTCAAAATTCTTGATATTGGTTATCATTGGAAGGACATTTTCAAAGATTGTGTGAAATATTGCAAGAGTTGTGATGTGTGTCAAACTTTTGCTTAAAATTACATGAAAACTCCTCCTATGATTACCGTACCGGTGTTATGTCCTTTTGAAAAGTGGGGTATAGATTTTGTAGATCTTTTGAATTTTACTCCTCAAGGGAATAAGGTCTTTGTGATAGCTATAGATTATTTTACCAAGTGGATAGAGTCAAGACCACTGAAATCTACTAATGATAAGGATGTTGGTAGATTTTTGTATGAGAGTATCATAACTTGATTTGGTTGTCCATTGGAATTAGTATCAAATAGAGGAGTAGAATTTGTGTAAAGTATAGGTTTAGTCATGTTGGAGCACTTTTTCATCAATGCTCGAAAGACCACTTGCTACAAATCTAATGCTAACTGGTTGGCGGAACGTTCTGCAACCTCCGGGCTGATTCTCACTTAAGATTACCTCAGATGGCTTTGCGGTAGTTCATCATGGTTCTAGAAGACTAGGATTCCTCCCCATACTCATAGCCCAAACACTCTCACACAATTACTCAATGTATCACTCTAACTCACACACACATCAACACTCCAAAGTATTGAAAATCGTCACTCTTTCATATATGAAACAAGTCTTTTCATGTGAACTCTTCAAACTTGCTTGAGAGTTTTTCCATATTTCTCTATATATACTACTTCAGAATTTATCATAGTAACAAATGGTAAGTACTATCTAACTTACTTTTACAAAAATAAACATGTGGCAACATGCCATTGGCCTCCTAAACCTTCTAGATGTTTACTAATCTCTAGATTGAGGTGGCGATATGTTATTTATGACATTCCAACTTCTAGAACTTCCACTTGCCACTAAGTCAATATTAGACTTAGTCTATCCAATGAAATACTCATTACTTAGTCAAACCAATCAAAACTAAACATGAAGTCAAAAGTACTTTATCTTGGAATGTTGACTTTTGTACAAGACAAAATAGAAGTGCTCTTTCAAATCTTCTAGAACTTTTCTAGTTATTCCGCCAAGTATAGACATTATAGCTAAACATAATTATAACTTGATAAATTTAGTCATAACTAGCTAGACTTAGTCATAACTAAGCTAATCATGATTAACTCCTTGGTTATTTCTAGTTTTATTTCACACATACAACATCCGGTCTTACAGAACTGTCTGACAGCTTGTTGACTTGTTGACAGACTTATCATATATAAATTTGCAATGCTCTGCATGGAATCACTTGTGGCCAATCTTGAGATGGAGACCGTCATCTTCACTTGAACCAATACAGCCGACCGCATGTTGGTATCTTTTTTCTACAATGAAGGTGCGAGAATGGAACACAAGAACTTAAATGTGGAAGCATCCGTCCGCATGCGACTCTTGAATTCCCTCGTATTGAATTATACGAGTAAGGTTCAATCGAAAAACTTAGATTTCCCCAGCCCTTTATCATGGGCCCATATACGTCGAGACCTAGTCACTCTCCCAAGCATGAACCTTTGCACCATAATCGATATACAATACGTTTGTTGCCAATGTCACATCGAAATGATACCTTCATCTCTATCAAGACATTCCATCGCGCAAAAAAGTGTGAACTGCAATAAAAGAAGAAAAATGATATTGTGAACATCATTGTACTTTGTGGTAATCTAAGGAAAAATGTGAAGGTTGAAAACTTTGATGAAAAACACATGGAATTAAGTAACTAGGGTTTAGGATGCAAAAGTCTACTATAGAAGGGAAAGAAAATGAGCACTTAAGTTTAGGGTAGTAAAGCGTTTTGCAAGAAGAGGAAAGAAAGAGGAAAAAAATTGTAAAGTGACAGTATGCTCTTCTTCTCAATAGGTGTCCGTTTGCAAGCACTTTTCATTTCAGAACTGCCGGTCGTGTGGTAGTCGTTAGGGGATTATGTCCAGGTGGCCGAGCAAGGCTTAAGAAAATACCCTTATCTACTAGTCAGGAGGTAAATGACGGCTGTCGGTCGTGTGACAGCGGCCTTAATCTAGCCAATCATCTTTCATACATTTAGTCAAACCAATCAAATCCAAGCTTATAGTCAAAAGTCTAATTCCTTGGAATTTAGATTTTTGTAAAAGACAAACTAGAAATATTCACCCTAATCTTCTGGAACTTATCTAATTATTTGCCAAATATAGACATTATAGCTAAACTTAGTCATGACTAGATAAATTTAATTATAACTAACTAGTTTAATCATAACTAGCTAGACTTAGTTATGTCTTGACTAATGATCATTAATCATTTAGTTATTTCTACAACTTAGTATACATGTGTAATATCCGTTCTCACAGGTCTGGTTAAATCAATCATAGAGGCAAAAATCAAGATTTCATGAACGAAAGAGAATATAGTTTATGGTTCAACCATTTGACAAGAAAAATAATAAAAAAACATATATTAAAAAAAAATTCACATCATAAAATTTTGTTATATGACAAGTACAATCTCCATTTCAATAGCAAACATCGTCGAACATCTTTATTCCGAGTAGAACTTTGTGTATGTATAATGTATATAATTTTTTTTGAAAAGTGCATGTATGACAACTATCATTTTTTTCAAAATCTTACTGCTACAATGATTCTATTGAAGAGGAAATTTCTAGACATTATTTTCATTTTCATCTATAATAACACAACATCATAAACATTGTCATATGTCTTATGTTAACTATTTCATTTAAAGTAATACTCTAGATTGTAGTGCTTTACGAGATGTGGAGTGGTGTTGTAAATATTGACTTTAAATGTGATATATTATCCCCTTGGTTCTCGATATGTGATTAATATCTTACTATATTTGTTATCTCTTTTAAATTTGAGTGGGTAAAATGTAGAAAAAGTTGTTTTGACAGAGGAAACTAAAATGATTGTTTTAACATTATGAATCACAATTCAAGGTGGAAGTGCAAAAAAAGTATCAATCAGATGAAAGGAATCTTGCCAGCCATATTCTGTATCTCTAAAGCAAGCTTATTCTGTACAGCACGATTATGCTGTATGAGTCAGATGAGAGGAGTGTATTCCCTTACTTCACTATCCAGGAATATCCAGAACAATTACTACAAACTACGTTTGATTCATGGGTGCGCCAACGCAGCCTTATGGTGACATCAGGCTGGATGTACAGGTTAATATATTCATATATATCATAAGAGTTTGGGTGTCAGGATTGGTTCTAAGCGCTTTTCGGCGGACCTCTCAAGACTTTCTTGCAGAATCTACCAGAAGGATTTGCGAACAGTGACAGATCTGTAATTGCTCAGAAGTGAAGAACTTCACGAACTGGTGGCACAACTTTCTTCATGCATTAACTAAATTGGAAGGACTCAAATCCAGATGAACTTTGACTCAAACTGAAGTAGCTGCACGAAGCTTGTAAAGCTTGATAGAAACGGGAAGGAGGAGAATTTAACAAATGGATATTTTCATCGATCAAAATTGTTGGGGCCCAACTCTTTACATCATACAGGTGAAATGAAAAAGCATACGTGAGCCTCCTCGCTGACCCGCAGGCACTTTGACCTGAAGATGCGACTCTTTAGAACCTGGAACAGATCACGGTCATCATCGTCCTGGACGTAGTTGACTCCGGCGTCTATATTCACTTGCATGCTTTCAACTTTGACGTCAGTTGAAATTCGGGAATAACCAACTCTCATGCAAGCTCAACTGGTGATCTAGATTCAACAACTCTCCAATTCCCGTACCGAGCCTGTACGGTGATAAATGACACGTAAAATGGCCCAGTAAAATCTTCATTGTCGAAGCCCCCCGTGAATTTGCTTTACTAGTTTGAAAGCATCAGAGGATTTTTGGCCCTCTAGAAACTTCAGTTTATCTATGTTCTCTTGGCAAATTCTCTGTTGAGTCTTCTCCAGCTTCAACTCCTCTTCCTTCCTATGCTGCATGGTGCACGATCATCCACTGCTCACACTTAATACGTATACCACAATCGTAAACTGGGACGAGAAAAAAGAAAAAAGAGATAGAGATCCTTGAGTTGGACAACTTTCTGGTGAGACCACTCAGTCAGTGATGTGCACTAGACTTGGCACTAAACTACACAGGAAACAGACATAAGATGACTCCTGCGTTATGGATATCTTAAATCATCGATATAACAGAGGCATCGAACACAGAGTAGAAAGAACAAACAAGGAAGAAAGAAAAATATGGAAGGGCAACAAAAAAGAAAGTGAGTTGAAACTTTGTGCAAGTATGAACAGTAACGCAATTTCTGTTACATTAAGACTGATCCACATTAGACATCATTGCTGGGATAGGTCTCGGTTGCTTTCAATACACTACTGCATGCACTTCGTTAATGGAATCGTATTAACAGACTGTTGAGACAGAACAGCAAATTTCTGGTCGGTTACAAGGAAAGTGCGATTCTTGGCAAGAAAGAGTGCAACAATACCTGAATAAGTGCACTCTGGTGTGCATAATGTATATTCTCTTGAATGGCGGTCTCGCGCAGTTGCGCATAGCGTGGATTTTTTGGAGTAACCAGACGTGCAGATACCTTACGAGAAAAACTACGCAGTGGATGATCTATCATCAGTTCTGGACAAGCAGGAATGGCCCGAGCAGGGCGAGGCATTTGACCTATCATGAGAAGATAGTCCTTCAGTTCTTTAACAACCTGGTCTCTCTGCTCCTTGCTCTCCATTTCTGCAAAAGCTACCCCGGTGAACAAACATGTCTGGCAGTCCCTCACAAGCTTCACTCCACGAACCTTCCCGAACTGCTCCAACGCCGTCCGAATCGTGTGCACGTAGCTGACAGGTGACAAATTGTCCAAAACCACACATTTCTGTACTAGCAGTTCCAGAGCAGCCTCCGGCGATATCGAACTGTCTTCGTCTCCAGTCGTCGTCGTCGCCGCCCTCCAATCCCACCACGTATCAAGATCTCTCTTCATCTTTACAACAGAAAAACAACCTCATGACATCCGATTCGTCCCGGAGAAGAAAAGGCTGGTGGGCCGCGCATTTCAAGCGCAAATGCAACCGAACAAGAGGCCTATGGAGAAGCTCCAGAGGCTGTAAAAATGCCACAGCCTCGTGGCCACGGTGTCCGCTGTTGCATAGGAACGCTGAGTACGACCAGTTCCCTCGTCGGTGAAATTTGGGATTCGAACAACCGAATGAGGACAGTGGCTCTGGCCAGAAACCATGCAACCGTCCGCCGCTGGCGTTGCCCACGGCTCTGCACCCTCAGACATGGCGGGCACGGCATCTCGCTACTGACTGCAGGATTTGGTACTGCCTCTAGAACTCATACGCACGCTACAGCATCCTTCTTCTCCTTTCTCTCCTTTGATCTTTATTTCTCTCGTGTCGTTCTTAAAGCTGAGCATTCAACATAGACGTTATCAGACTGTGTGAAATAAAATCTCCATGTTTTTCTAAACTTTAGATGAGGTGAACGTGGTCAATGGGTCAGTGAGAAAACAGTTTTATTAAACTTTAGAACTTTGTAATAGAACACTTTTACTCCATCCCATGAGGGTGAACGTGGTCAATGGTTCTCTTGTGGAATTACATCTTTGGAGTATGAACTAACTATCAGCTCTAATATATCGACGTCTTCATTTTGAATTTTTTACATGCAATTTTTAATGATAGAAGTATGTAGATAAATCTTGTGGATGATATAGACCACCTATATTACCAATTTCAGATATAGATAATCGTATAGTTTCCTCAATTGGTAGCTATATGCTGTTAACATCGGATGATCATTTAGTATATTCATATGATGTGATTTTTTGTGGGTCTGAAATCATGAGTACGGGAAGAAAAACGATTCATAATTAAGACTTTATCGATAAGAGTCAATACAAATTTGTTCATGTGATCATGGCATTTCCGATGTAATTGGATACGACGTTGAGAGAAGATATCAAGTCTTTTGTATTCCATTTTTCCCGGCAAAAGTCATATTTCTCCAAACTCATCACTTCACCAAGAACTGATCAACATAGCATAAATCTGAAACATTATGTCTCGGTTCTTTACTACCACAAAGGGGGGGGATAAAATTTCGCGCACCATAAAACTTCGATAACTGTCGGTGCAATATGCTCGAATAGATTAAACAAAGATCCAAACTATTTTTAGACTCACCGATGAAAATTGCACATGATGCATTCTTCGAAAACATCCATCTGCCAACCATGTATTGTTTGGTGCTTATTTGGTCAAGAACAAGATACAAGTAGGAGCTGCGCTTTGAAGCAAGCCGTGCAATCTAATCGCCCTGATTGTTTGGCAGAATGTTTTGTCTCCACTCGAATGGCTTAAATAAAGATTTACCTTCAATGGTACACAATATATTCTTGATTGGTGGCGAATGTCGACTGGTCAAACCACTAGACAGAGATACAACAGGGTTTCAATGTCATTATTTTACGACTCAAGTGTCATAATGTGACAATTTCAAATTGGTGTGGACTAAAATAATGTTAGAAAGAAATTACAATATTTCGTTCGTGCAAAACATAGAATCACCTTACAAAACTTAATGAAACCATCATAGATATATATTTTTTGTAGAAAAGATAAATTTGCAGATATATGGTCTTGATAAGCGTTTAGAATGAATGTGGACAAAAAATGGCTAAAGAATGATTAATCAAAGCACCATAGATCCTATTAAAAAAATATCCCAAGGTAATTTTCTGTACTATTTCATGACAAGCACTAGCCAGAAGAAAAGAACGATAGACCATTGCGGGCTAAGAATACTCCAAGATTACATAACTTTACAATGCAATCACAACCACACCTTAAATAGAATGTGTCATAAATGATTCCTGACTTTTTTCTTTTTTTAGATGAACATATATGTAATGTGATCCAACTCCATGATCTTAGATCGGGAGATATTATTAGCATAGGGAGACATTATCTCCGTATGCTGAACACAATCATCATCTTGTTTAATTTTTTATAGGCAGGAGAAATAAAAACCGTATTACTAAATACATGGATTCTCACACCAACCGATGAAAGAATAAGCATAAATTTGTATAATATTGTCATCATGGGTTCATAAGATATACCGTTGGAAAAAAATATGAACGTGAGAATCTCGTTAAAAAATTCTAAAAATCAATTTTATTGTGATGCTAAACATCCTAATTTGAGAAAACATATTTTCATGAGTTGTGTGATCAACCCTTCCACATGCGCATGCCAACTAATTCGACTATGATATTTAAGCATCTTTTGCATTGCGTGTATGTATCTCGAACATGAGATCCTAAACACTGTTTTGTTTCATGTTGACTCATACAAAGAATCAAAGTCATACCTAGCAAAACCAGAATGTTAAGTCGATATTCCATTACGTCTCCAAAACTACATAACCATAACAAACTTCATCATAATTCATAATCAACAAAATTCTAAAAGCTAAAAAATCAAGACGTCAGTTTTTCATCTAGTAAAACCAAGGAAAGAAGCATTTATTGAAGAAAAACCATGTCCCTATGCAGGATTTAGCAAAAATCACTTGAAGCTCTCAAATTGAAAAATACCTGATCCTTCGATATTATATGTTCAATCAATCTCATCCTAACCTATTCGCGTCTGTTACGGCAGTCCAGTGACCCCAATACAGAATCTCAACTCCACGAGATGGTTAAATTTTTTGGCGTCACTCCAGACTTGTATTTATTATACTGTGCCACGCGTAAGGTTCGGAACTGCGCAGTAGTAACTGCGGCTCGGAGGCGAATCAACCATGTTAAACCAACCACGCAGTTCCGTGGCTACAACAGAGGGCTGAAGCAAATTGTTCGGAATCCCTCGCTTTCGTCGTCTCTTTGAAAAATTCTCGGTTTGGCTGCATTCTGTCGCCACCAGACCCTCAAGCTTCTGCAGAGCTCGACGCGGGAAGAAAGCTTGCACGATCGAAATCGTGTCTCCGATTTCATTTCAGCAATTCAGTCGTCCTCGCGCCGCCCTTCACCATGAGGTAGGATCGAGCAAACCTCGAGTGTTCGGTTGTTTTTTCGGTGCTGACAGCGAACTGTGCACGTCGCCTTTCGCGGTGTCGATATCAGGGTTTAAGTTGCCGGTGCTGATTTTGTGTGCTGCTTGTCTGACGGCTGTTAGCTCTACGTAACTTGTCCGATTTATTCTGTCTTGCGGGATACTCTAGTCTTTCATGGTCTGTCTTCGTATCGTTCTCGGATTTGGTTCTTTTCAGTGTTTCGATTCTTCAAGTCGATGTTCATTGTCTGGGGCTTATAATCTAGGGTTTTCGCTTACTGCCTGAACTTGACCTCGGACTAGTGTCTAATATCCAGTGTGGCCGTAAATGTTGCAGTGCCAGACCGATGGAAGAAGACACGGTAAGAACCTCTCGATGTCCTGCTTCTCTCATTGCCTGTTTTCATCGTATTCTTAGCTTTTCTCTCACATGTCTGCCCTAGTCGTAGTCGAGGTCCGTGTCTGTTGCCTCGTGCGTAAATCGTAAAAATATCTGTGCTGCTGCTAGTTGTGTTGCTTTCTCCTGCGTTGAGCTTAGGATATAAATTGATTTTATCCTTATAATGACGCCGAGAACCCCGACTTTATCCAATTTTAACTGGTGGATGTTGTGATTACAGGAAAAGACCGAGGAGGAAGAGTTCTCTACTGGCCCCCTTTCTGTACTGACAATGTCCGTGAAAAACAACACACAGGTCTCTCTCTCTCTCTCTTCCTTGCCCTCTTACACTTGTGAGCGAGTACCGCTCTATTTATTAGAATAAGAAGCTATGTGGGATATTTTTGTGACTTATAGTCAGGTTGAGCTGCTTGCTCGATTTAAAGTGGGTACTGGCTAGATAATTACATTGAATCTCAATTTTCTTCATGTGAACTTCCCTTCGTATCAGAGCATCATGCAGATGTGATTGATCGTGAAGGCACATTCACCGTAGAGAAAAAGGTGATCACAAGCCTATTATTGTGACTTTTTGTGAGTCACATTTGGGCGCTGTTCCAATTTGTACTGAATTTTCATTCGCCTTTGGACAGGTATTGATCAATTGCAGAAATAACAAGAAGCTGCTCGGTCGGGTTAAAGCTTTCGATAGACATTGTAACATGGTTCTTGAGAACGTGAAGGAAATGTGGACGGAGGTAAACTGCTAAATCAGATTCTTGGTGACTCGTGAACTGCCAGGGTGTCTTCATCCAGATGTTTTTGATATTGTCTCCAGCATGAAGAACTGATCTGAATTTTCAGTGCACTTAATAGTGGGATATGTTCTCACAGAATTACTATCTTTTCTCTTGACCAGGTGCCCAAGACGGGGAAAGGCAAGAAAAAGGCGAAGCCCGTAAACAAAGACAGGTTCATCAGCAAAATGTTTCTGCGGGGTGATTCCGTCATAATTGTACTCAGAAACCCTAAGTAGAAGGTTCATATCGAGCGGTTTGGTGTTTCCGCACCGGATTAGGTTAGAAGTCCCTAATGTGGCCAAGAAGTAGGGTGAGCACTGCCGGGAATCTGCGACAGGTTTTCAGGCACACCAGGTGTAGAAAAGATGATCCTGCAGGTAGAATGACTTGGCGGCTTTGGCGGCTTTGTACAAGTAGTGTTTCTCGCTTTATCTGTTGGTTAGCTCGGATCGGATTCGAGACGCGTAGTGCACTCATATAGCAGCATATACTCCATATTTTGCGTAGGAAATAGACAGGAGTCCGCTGCGAAGAAAGCCTTTGTACACCGCACCTCGTCGTCGAATCAACTCTACAGACGTCGGCTGGGGTGGTAGAAGATCTTTAATGGTATTTCTAGATCTTAGGTGTCTTTCAAGGCAACGAGAAAGGAAGCAGTCTTACGAAAGTCTTCCATTTACCTCCGGCTTCTTATTTCTGGCAATTTTTGTCTCGGTTGTTATTGTAGTATTCAACACATTTGCAAAGCTGAGGTGTTCTTGGTTCTTTAAATGTACGGACTCGGGCAGTGTTGAAAGAGCACCCTACACCAGTACTTCTCACTGCTTTCAACCTCCGAGTAGATGGCTACGAACTACTTTCACTGTGTACGTTAACGGCCTGCATGTCAATATGAGCCAAGCCACTGATGAGGAGGATGCTAATTAGGATTCAACACTGTCTTCATAGAATGGACGGCAGCAAGAAGGTTCTTTTTTTCCGTAGACTATGGACCTTCGTGTTAGACATGCATGTGCACATGATAATCATGAACAGAATCCGGGCAAGTAAAGCGCATAGCATGCAAGAACATGTCCGCATTAAATGTGTGTGCTTTTTTCATGAACACGCATGTGTTTTAATACCTGTGTGTTCATCAATACAATTGAAAGCCATTGACGTAACCGCGAACGAGAAGCCAGGCGTTCCTCCACAACCAATATCGCCATTAAATTGTAGTTACCATTAGGTCCTTCAAAGGCATCTAATCTGGAACAATTGAGGTCTACAATGCGTGTGACACAGGCATTGTAGGGATGCAACATTGATCGACGGATCAATGTTGTATCCCAGTTTAGACCTACAATGCCACAATGAATAACTTCCACACTCTTATGGAATTCACAACTCCTCAGATTAGAGCATTGCATGCCCCTTCCTGACAAACAATATTAAAAGAACAAGTCCCATGTCTTGCAACGGCCATATTTTCCTGAATCAATGTGCAGGCTGTCCCCAGTACCGTAAAACTCGAAATGTACGTGAGCGAAAAGATGTGCCATGCACCGGTCATCTCCAAAATGCCGCAGAAGGTGGGCTCTCAGTCCTTCCATGGCTGCTTTCACCGAAGTCAAAGGTCCCCAAAGCTGTTGCAATTCGAATAAAATATCGAAAGCCTCTTAGTGCAACCGTTGTTCGTGTAAACATGGTTTGTACCTTACAGTTGAAAAGGTCGCTAAAAATTTCTACTTCCTCGTACAGTTGAATACCCTGTGACATGGCTCGTCCAATACAAGTTAGCTGAACATGTTGATTTGAACAATGATGAGATTTCTCAGCGTCAATCCCCCTCGACAAAGAGAACTCCCACAGCGTTTGAGAGATATGTAACAAGACTTAACAGCTGGTCCAGGCAATATTGGGGTACAGTACCCAAGAAAGCATCCGTCAAGCCTGACCTGCTCTCTCTTGTAACTACACGACGATTTACCCTCAAATCTAGTGGCTACTGCACTTGCCCCACAGAGTAGAACAATCTTACCTTCTGGTATCCTCACGGGATCCTAAGACTTTGGTGTGCCCTATCTGATCGGAATTTTTGCACCGTTACTCTTCCGCTCCAGACGAGCGTTGCGCTGCAGCGTGGCGCGGATAGCGGTCTCAACATTTAAATTTTCAAATCTTCCCAAGCTTCGAACACACACAGAACATTTCAAATCTTCATAAGCTTCGAACACACTCTGAACATTTCAAATCTTCAAATCTTTCTAAGCTTCGACTATGCTCTGAATATATGTGCAACTAGCCCGTAAAGACCGACCAGTAAGCAGATGCCATTCAACGGCCTCACCACACTTTTGAATCTCAATTCGGAGACATGGAGCGTTTGCATGCTCAGTGAAGTTGTTGGATCAGAGAATGTCTAGAAGGCAGCTTGTGGCCAGCAGTCGCTAAGCTTACAATCAATCCTTTCGTGGTTGTGGAAATCGCGGGGTGCAAGGCACTTTACTAAGCCCTCGTTTGCAACATGTACATGCTCTAGACACGCGCACACAAATTCGCAATTCTGCACGGCGAAGAGCAAACTGCTTCTCAAAACACGAAAGGCTGACGAAGATTCGGAGATTCTGAACATGGTGGAGCAAATGGCGCCGTCGTACTCAGAGAAGGAGAATCAGAATTCCTTCCAGGGATCTGATACGCACCAGGCAATGGTGAAAACGGCTTACGAGTCGATTTCCAGCAGCTACATTATGCAGCTCGGTTGTGTCATCGTGCTTCTGGTGCTCTGCGTCTGCTTCTACAGGTTGAAGCAGAATGCTCGTCTGGGGCCGAGATATTGGCCCTTTCTGGGCAGCGTCTGCGACATCTCGGCGCATTACTGTCATCTACACGATTGGCTCTTGGGGTTCTTCCTCTCCTCCAAAACCATTCACGTCCGCATGCCCTGGGGCCGCGTTTACTACTGCACCGTGGATCCAGTCAATGTCCAGTACTTGCTCCAAACGAACTCCGTCAACTTCCGCAAGGTCTGTCTGTCCCGTCAGCCCAATTCGCCCTGGGATCTCGTCTCGTCTCGTCTTCCATGCAGACCGTAGTTTGTGACGGGCTGTGTCTCTGATGTGCTGTCGTAATTGGCTTCGATTGACAGGGCAAAGGCTTCTTCAAGCGCATGGAAGTATTGTTGGGCCAGAAAGAGCTTCATGAGTCATGGGTTATGAGGAATTGGGTGGCCTCGGAGTTCTGCAAACCTTCAGTCTGCGACCTCACTGCTGCTGTAATGAAGAAGAAAACTTGTACCATCGCTCGGCTGCTGGCTGAAGTAGCTGGAGAAGGCACCACCGTGGACATCCAAGTAAGTCATACCACTTATGTCGTCGAAGGAGGTTCCTGGTCTGAGCTGCCCATCTCCAACCTCTGCATATCCGACGACAGCCTTTGGGTTGAGTTCGACGATGAAAAGGGATTAGCACAAAACATTTCGCACTCCTGGAACAATTTAGAAAAGAGAGTCTCGGATGCCGATAATTACTTTGGGCAAGACCAAACTGACTTGTCATGTGTTTGCCTTGTCGACCATGACAGGATCTGATTCAAAGGGCGACATTGGATGCGATCGGAAAAGTGGCGTTTGGAGTAGACTTTGCCTCTCTGCCATCTGCTCTTCCAAAGCCATGGCCACACATCGCGTTCGCTTCGTCTTTGGACTTGGCCACCACCATCGCCGTCAAGCGCTTCAGTGATCCTTTCTGGGAGCTCAAGCGGTACATGAACATAGGTCCCGAGCGGATGCTACCGGAGCAAATGCAGGTAGTGGATGGGTTTACCTTTAGCCTGATTGCTGACAGAAAAGCCGAGCTCAAGCATCTCCATGGGCAAGTCTACGATCTGGCTCAAGCTTACCTGGCTCACGCCGAAGGAGTATGTTTCACTTATCTCATATCTTGCTCTCTGAGTTGCTTCAGCTGGTGGCACCAGCGTAGACTTAGGTAGACTCGTCAGTCACAGGTGCACAGATCGTGGTCCTCGTGCAGTGGATGATATAGATTCGAGCTCAGTTGTTGTGGTCATGCCTGCAGACCCCGTATGCGAATGATCTCGTTTCCAAATTTCTCAACCTCACGATGAGAGACGACCAAGCAGACAACCACCAGACGGACGAGTTACTGCGGCACATCGTCATCAACTTCGTGATCGCCAGTCGGGATGCTATTGGGGTGACACTCACGTGGCTTGTCTACGAGCTGAGTATGCACTCGGATGCGTCTCACAGACTGTACTTAGAGCTCCGAGACTATGAGAGCCGGAGACAATTCGAATGTGAATGTTCGGTGGAGCAGTATTGGGATGTCGAGCTGCAAGACGAAGACTACGTTCGCATGATGGACACACGAATTCGTGAATTTGCTGCCCTGATCACCTCCGAGTCTCTGGACGAGCTGCCTTTCTTGCATGCTTGCCTTCAGGAGACTCTTCGGCTTCATCCAGCGGTGCCTCTTGTACGTCTCATGAGCCACATCTTCCTTCATTGTTGGTTTTGGAACGTGATTGTCATCTTCATCTTTGTAGACCTCGAGTCATGGTGGGAATATCATAACATGGTTAGACATAGGCCCACGTAAGGAGGAGACTCGACCTTTCAACAGATTTTATGGTGACCAATTGCCACGGCATGAATCTGATTCATATAGATTGGTAAGGTGTTGTAACCAGCGGTGCTTCCCCGTTGTGCAGGACCCCAGGGATATAGAAGAAGACGACACACTTCCAGCAGGAGAAGTCTTCGTAAGCAGCAAGAAAGGGAACGTAGTCTTCATTGCACCATATTCTATGGCTCGAATGACGTCTATCTGGGGTCCGGATGCTGTACAGTTCAATCCAGATCGTTGGCTGCAGAGTGGCAAACTGGAGCCAGCATCTGACAGCAAGTTCGTGACGTTTCAGGTGGGTTTCCTGATTTTTATCACCAGATTTGAAGCGCATTCAGTTTGAGTTATGGTAGGGAGTCAGAGACTGCTCACCTTCACCGTCAGAGATTGCTGGCTCGACAAGGTCTAGGGTAGAATCATCCTTTCTCGCTATTGGTTTAGTCCGTTCGAGCTAGAAAATGTGAATGAAGTTAGACCTGAAGAACTTTGTGATATATGTGCAGGCTGGTCTTTACACTGGCGCTGTGAAAGATTTGACTTACCAGAGTTGCAAGGTAACAGCAGCTATTCTGGTTCGGTTTTTCGAATTTATCCGCGCGTGTCCCGTCAATCGTCCTCCCGAATATCGTATGACGTCCACCTTGGTGATGGAGAGCGGTCTTCAAATGTATCCTCGTTTGAAGGACAAACTGGGAGCTACTATTTAGTATATTTAGTAGCGATATTAGTTGTGAGGATATTCATTCCAGTTTAGATGGATTTGAACGACCAAATGGGAGGTACAATGCCACAATGAAGAATGTATGGGATCTTTTGTGTTTTATGGTGGGGTGAGCTTAACGAAAATCACTATTCCGTATTGGTTGGTCATCAATCTTGGTTCGCACTTTCACTATCTCCAGCATACTTCCGTCCGGAAGTTCACATATTGCACACTTCGTGTGTATCCACTCTGATCTCTGCAATAATTTTCAGCTGCACGTGAAGTAATGATGTTTGGTCACTCTTTCAATGCATTCCCTCCTATGTTCCTAAAAAAGAAACAGATCGTGGGAAGTTTGAAAGCTTTTCTCTCGAGAGGTTCTTTGGGTCAGTGGCTAAATGTGAAGAAAGTCAACACCCCAAAAGTTTGAAATAGGAGTAGACTGCGTAGATCCTTGTATTCTCTTTGAGATTCAGTAAGCCCGACACACAATGTATACTAGGCTTTGGAGCTTGAACATCATAATAATCTCGATTGGAGCACTAGAGACTGCTTAAGAAATTCAGAATATGTGTTATAATCTCAAACTAAGATACAGAGCCGAACAAGAGTGAACTTATTTCGATCTCCCATTCCTTCTGACATGCAGTAGAGTGTAGGCTGCTTTTCCATACACAGAAGACCATCTCCATGAACGGGATCTAGTTTTCGATGAACGCTGCACGAGCTTCTGTATGAATCACGAATCCGTGAAATCTATTAGTTCAAGATTGTACAGCAGGGAACACCGGAAATTGGGAGGATCTTCCCGGTAGATCACTGCAATCAATGCGTTCAATATATACATCTGTATTGGCCTCCGGGTCGACAGCAAAATCTATCGTTGAAATCAAGAGGATGTGAGGAGGCAGCTGCTGGGAATGACGGTGTCTGCGGAAACACCATATGCGTCCGAGCAGAAGGAAGTGGCGTCGGAGCCTGAAGTCCGAACGAGGTCGATGTCCTGCAGCGTGATTCCTGTGCACGCCACTGTCTCGCTGCATGCCAGCTTTACTGCTACTTTCGTCGCTGAAGTGCCGGTGATGTTCTTGAACGTGATATCCGAGATCTGTACGTTCGACGTGAAATTGGGACACGAGCCCGAGCTCGCAGAATCGCAGTAGTACTGATCGATCAAAATTGGGTTCTTCACGTTGTTCATGACCAGATTTTGGTACGTGAACGTGCTCGCCGTCCCGGAAGATCCCTGTGCGTGTCAGACAGTCCAAACCACGACTACTGACGTTCAGTTTCAAGTCATATCTTCTCCTGTCACTTCAATTTCTGACCTTGATCGCTACCTCGAGCAAGTTCATGAGTCAATTCAGCATATTTGGTCGAAGAAATTGAAAGGGAGGTTGCAATTATAGATCTGTCTTCCCTTGAAACTAGTGGATTCGACTTTTTTTTCCAGCAGTTCGTACTTCTGAGAGCAGAAGATAATTCATGGCATGGCAGCTCACGAATTCCCCATCGACTGACCTGCCAGGATTTGATTCGGACGCCGTTGGTAGAGTTGGTGAAAACCACGTCTTCTACGACGATATTCGACACTGTCGCCGATGTGTTTTTCTTGCCTAGGCCGCCAACACTGAGTGGCAAGCCAGAAGGTGAAACGTAATCAGTCAGCTGCTCATTTGTTCATAGGTCCATGGAGGACACACTTGTTCTATATTTGCGACATTTTTCTCATATGAATCAAGATGCCTGAATGCTGCCGATCGCAGTAACTGTCAGCGACCGTATCAGAGTTTATGCTCGAGGACCGTAGACCTGTCCAATCTACAAAATGATACCTCCTACCAGTCCATGAATGCTGCAAAGCCTCGCAAGCAAATACCTGATTCCATGCCCAGGTCCACAAGTGATATTTTTAATGGTGACGGACGACGAGCCGTTTTGTATCGAAACGCAGTCATCTCCTGTAGAGTGAACCTCGGCAGTCAGAAACTCATTGTGCCTTCATAGATGACAACCACCTTTGACAGATCGGTGATATCCTCCCTTGCAAACTTGAAAAACGTGTACGCATGCGAAAGATCGATCGATTCATTTTGACAAGAGCAGGGTGAGAATTCTCGGAGGGAACTTTGTTCCGAGGTCGTCAAAGCTCACTGACAACGGACCTGTTCCTATGAAGGAGTTTTTTATAGTAACGCTGGTGGCGTTTTGCAGGTGGATGCCGTCAGTGTTGGGGCTGTCACCTGGGGCTGAAATATTGATCGAGTTCACCATAATTCCTACGGACTTTTCGAACGCAAGATGCATCTGCTGACTGTTGAGAATCGTCACATACTTTACCGTCACATTTGTGCAGGCATTGAATACAATCGCCTGGATACAGGAACCAGATCCCGGAGATTAGCTGTGCATGCATTGTCATCGAACATTGGTTGCAACGTAAGCCATAACTGGCATTCCAACAAGCTCTACGCTGCAGAATCTCCACACTTGAATTTTACATTGAAGCGCATTTCTTGAGCTTTGATTCTCTCCTCTCATCGAGATTATTTTGACCACAGAAATTGCAGATATCACCGAAACACAAATCAATACCACCGCAAGTCCCCGGAACCAATACTGTAACATGACAACAGTTTAACCAGATCTATACCAAGTGAACAAATCAGCATCTTTGGAAAAGCCACTAATCCCACGCAAGGTATCGATTCTAGAGAGTGCCAGATCTGAACAAAAGACAAAAGAGAGTCGTTGCCCATGTACACATGAGTTGGATGTGTCTAGCGTTCGTGCATATTAGCCGGAGGTATTTTGGAGAGTAGAATTTGTTGGTAGGGACTCACAGTAGGTCCATCCTTGCAGGCCTGCCAAAGGAATAAACAAAAATGAATAATAATTAGTTGAGCCACAGCGGACATGATATGATCACACGCCAATGTTGCATGACAACGTGACCGTAGGCTCACTGACTGACTGACTGACTGGCAAACGCAGTCCTCAAATATGTTTAGACGCAACGAAGAAGAAAACACGATATGCATGGATCCACCTGTGCATTGCAAACGACGGAAAGCAAGAGCCTGCTAGTGCACGTAAGACTGAATCAGGACTTATCGAACTCATTGCATTGCATGTTGCCCCTAAAGATGATGTCACAAGCATTAGCATCTGATTTTTATGAGACTTATCGTAATCGAGACGAGTCTATAAGTTGCATGCTTTTCTAGCCCACGGCGGCTTGAAAAGGAATGAAGCATGTAAATGCTGCGCAAGATATGTCCACAGGTGTTGGAACGTAAACAACTAGTCATGCAAAATGACTCGTTCACGTCATGAAAGCAAGACCTCCTGAAGTTTCGCAGTCGTTCAATGATCAGGCTTTGACGATTTCGTGGGTCCCGAGGATGCAGAGATTGGATGAAAGTGGCCTAAGAACAAAGAGCGAGGCAATGACGCACGAACTTGAACGAGCTCCGGTAACTACTGCCATGAGAACAGAAAGAGGAAGACTTGAATTCTGTCTTGTGGTATGACTAGAACTGGAAGTATTACAATCGAGGCTTGGACTGGTTGCTAAGGAGGGGAATACACTGCATACATGTGCAGGGGACATATGTAGAAAACTGGAAATTCCATGCAGATAATAAGGAATAATCTGCTGCATATGCAGCAGACTGAGCGTATAATTTTGACATGTCTGAAGGCGTGGAGTTTTATTCTACCCTTACACCCAAGCAAGCAGGGCAGGGAAATGAGTCGGAGAATCATGACATGTGCCGGGCTTACATTGCTGGAGTTGGTCTTGCACGATTCTGCCCACCAGTTCTGGCCTTGCCCGTCGATGGTGCCAGTGCCCTGAATGATCATAGACACTTTGCTGAACTCCAGCCAATGGTCCTTGACGCTCGTCCCGTTCCACACAGACGTTTCAGGAGGAGCCAGAACTGTTCCATCCACCTGCACATGGCACGGACCCCATGAACAAGCAGCTCCAGTCACAATCGCCCCGACCTTCTAGATTCAAACCAGTTTCAAAATTAGACTGAATTAAGATGTCAATCTAATCTATAGGATAGCACCAAGACTCAACCAGCTTGAGCAAATTTCCGAACTGATTTATCTATCCCAGAACTTGGTCATATCGTCTTCGAAAGAGAAACACTTAGATCTGTCGCTAGATTCAATAACAGTCTACTAAACATCAATTACAGCTGAAATTCTTCACACATGTACAAATTTTCGACGAGCAAATCTAACATGTCCGACATTTGACTGCACAGATCAAGTGAACAACTGGGACCCACTGGTACTCCAATCATATCCATCACCTCCTGCAGCTACATGCTCTAGGACGTCTCAAGCTGACTCGGGGATTATCGATTTCAATTCCTAAACCACCATTTGGATTAGTTTGAGTAGAAGCAGATACATTGAGAGCTCTTGACCTCGATCGTCCCACATGTTACTAATTTGAATGAAGACAAGGTTAAGCTAACCGGGCCAGTGTACCTTAAATGTCATGTTGAGAAGGCACGGTCCTTTGAACGTCGTTGGGTACACTAAAAAACTGTATCCCACGGGAGCATGCACGTAGGCATAATCGACTGCGCAGGCAGCTTTCCAAGCATCCGCAAATGCCTGCAAATACAGCTCATATACACAGCAAAGAGTCAGATGGGATCTTTCATTTTCTTTATCCCCAAGGTCCTTCAAACAGTTGTGTTTTGGTCCTCCAATCTCCGATCTTATTTTTGAACTTGCTAAATGATAACTTACTTCTCTAACAGAAGGTTGGCAACTTTGGGAAAGTGTTTGTGAGTCGTTGACTTTTGCACATAGGGAGGAAGGCTCCTGCTTCATCGTCGATTCATAAGAAGTCGAAGGAGACATCGTCTTTCTCATGCATACTTCTTGTGAGTTAGACACGTGCTCTCGTGCCATGTACCTTGGCGCAGAGCAGAGCTAGGACATTATGCAGAGATGCTTGCACTTACAATTGAGACTGTAACTCGGACGTGCGGTCGGTTGTACAAGATATGGCCACTGCAGCAAGATGGGACGTTGCTCAAGGTCACAGGACCATAGCAGTTGGATTATCGATCGCGGCCTCGTGAGCTACTGATCTACGAATGGAAGTTCAATGCGCTTTACCTGAGTGTCGTTAGTAACTCCGTCTCCAAGGGCCCCATATTCCAACACATTGAATTCAGTCATGTTCGAACTGGTATCCGAGACTCCTGGCTCCGGAGCTGCTGATGAGTTCGTTGTCCCGGTGGATACCTCTGGTGCTTGAGCTGTTGAGTTTGATGGGCTACTGGGAGCTGGAGCTGTCGAGTTTGATGGGCTACTGGGAGCAGGAGCAGGGCTCATCGTTGCTGGAGGAGGAGGAGGAGAAGGAGAAGGAGGACGAGGTGGGATTCTGGAAACTGGAGACTTCGGCGCATGTGGAGACATCGTCACATTCCCAGTGAAAGCAGATGAAGAATGCACAGAAACATTCGAAGTGCGAAGCTGCTGAGAGATCAACAGCAGTGACAACAGAAAGCTTGTGCTCCCCATAGTCTTTGAAATATGCTAACTCCGAATTAATTTCTCATACAGACAAGATCCTGATCAGAAACGAAGCAGACCTCTGACAAAGAGGACAAGTACTGAGATCCTCCCGATAGGATGAGTTGACAGAAGGGTCAAGACACATATATGCAAATTGGGATCTCCTCTACTGCAACAAGAGTCTGGATGCATGATGAAGATAGACTTGGAAGCACTGCAATAGATCTCAGTTACGTAATTAGCTTGCATTACTCTGACCTGATCTTTCTGCATTATTGCAGCACATAAGCGACTGCCAATAACACTAAGTGGCAAATATGGTACTTCTTCTTTAGCGATGATCCTTCCATATTTCAGCCTACAGGACTCCACAAGCATCCGGCTGCATGCAGTGCGGCCTCTGATGACGAACTTTATAAAAGGTAAGCAGGAATGCACATGCTTAAGAAGTGAATCTGATTAGAGGGAGCGATACATTGGCAATGCCATAGTCATGAAGCAGAAGCCCAGAAGACTCTCGAATTATGTTTTCCTGACATTCTATTTTCCTCCTCAGAAAGTTACCGATCATGTGGATTAACAGGATTAAAAGGCAACAGTCTTCGGGATCAAACACGCTCTTCATGCTGTTCACTTCTGGGCCCTATTACTCTCATACAAAGTGGAGACTGTCTCTCCTGGATCGCATCCCCGGTTAGAATCAAGCCTTCACTCTCGAAAAATTTTGTTCCATGATCATTCGTACCTTAGTGTCATTTGTTGATCCATCTCCGACTGCTCCATAATCCAAGACATTGTATTCTGTGAAGGTAACTGAACTGTCTGCATCAGCTTTCGGCAATGTATGAAAGGTCGATGCAACAAAAGCAAGTAGCACTAGAGAGCTGAGCACGAGTGTTTTCGCCATGTTTAACGAACGTGTGCAGAAGTACTCGGGAAAAGGTCTGTTCTGTGTGTAAAGCTTCTTTCTGAAAGGTCGTTGATCTGCTTTCTGAAAGGTCACTTTGTGAAGAGTCACTGGGAGAATATCGGCTACTTCACAAAGTATGGGAAGAATCGGAAGAAAAGGGCTTTGTGATGAAGAATGTTGTAGCTCATCACGCCGGGCACCCATACTTTATACTCGATAATCCTGTCAGCTGTCTGCTGCAAATTGAAAGGAACTGATTTGCTGGAGCTCAACCCGTCAAAGCTGGAGGAGCTGGCTTGCGGCTTGATTCGAAAGACTCCGACTTCTTACGCGAGAGGTCGAAGTCGGAAAGATGTCTGCAAAATTCATGTATGCACAGGTTCGATCCACATTGAATTGAAGCACGCCTGGAATGGCAATGATGACAGTTCCAGAGTATGTAACTCATCGACACTGCCGTGCTAAAGTTTGCACCTCTCAAGCAGAGCTGCACGGGACCTTGGAAGTCCGACTCAAAGCTCCAGGATGCCATCAGTCGACGTTCTGGTCCAGATTTTACGTTATGGCTTGCATCAGCTAGCCTCTGTCTGAACATCAGATAAACCTGCATACTGGGGGGCCGAGTCAACAAGCAGAGTGAGGCACAAAACCTCTCTGACTGAGCAGCTTAGCTTAATTTTTCTCGATTGCAATAAGATCTTGCCTCTGAATCTGCTGTATCAATGCGCAAACAATGCTCGAGACCACTCGGCCTGAAAGATGGCTCATCTATTCTGAACGCTCTCACACAGATAGAACAGTCCCGATATTTGTGGATTCACTTCATTATTTATGCATTCTTAACGATAATCGATCTCACTTATTTTTGTTAATCATTTGGTTGCCTCGCTTGATGCTTCCATCTGCATAAGGTTATCGATGTTGTTATCCAGTTAGCCAATTTTCGTGTTTGGTGTAGTGCCAACAAATGAGGAACATTGCTTCGCACGCATCCTCACTAATTTAAGCTTTGAAAATCATATAAATGATTCCACACTAATGGTTCATGTACGTGGCAAGCTTGCCTCTGGATTTCGTACTGGAGAAAATGGACCCAGCTCATTTAAGTGGAATGGAACTTTTTTCATGTAGTTCGTGAGATCCGGTTCTTCGTGCATCAAGTATGGGGAGATCTGAAACTCGAGCATGAAGAAATCCTTCCGCGCCGTGCTCGTGGGGAATTCTGGCTCCTGGGGCGTGGCGTAGGGGCAGAAGAGACGTGGAAGGGCCCAAACCCGGGCCCGGGTGATGGTCAGAAAGGCGTGGCCTTGATTTTGCTTGCGATCTCGAAAGGCTGTCAAGTTCGCTTCTGGTTCCCGAGAGAGCCCATCAGAAGCATCGAGCCTTCCAGCTCTTCTGTCTGATTCTCGGGCACCACGTGTCGTCTCGTGACAGTGTCCCCCACAAGATTTAGCATCGAATTTCGGCTGCAGAACCGTGCTCCGAGAATGCGCACCCTCCCTCGCTCGCTGCTTGCTCCATGCTTTGGGACTTCTGCTCGTCACATCTGCAGATCAGAGATCGCAGTGCTCTGGAGGGCACATGGAGAGCGGGACTTCGCTGCCATGTGCGTGGATCTGAACACGTCAGATTCTCCGAGAGGATGCTTTTGTGATTCAGCCGAGTCACACTTCCGTATCAGACGTAGAATTAGCTCGCCGCGAGGCGAGGAGTCTGCCACCATCTGAAACTGCAGTCGGACGGCACGAGGGACAAACCCACCACTTGAGAGCTTCGAGCAGAGAGAGCTGTGTGCTGCGTTCTCAGTCTCCTACAGTCCACAATTATTGGCGGACTGTATTTGGTTGTTGAATCCAGAGTGCCGAATCTACTGTCTAAATTTGAGAACGAAAGGCTGAGAAAATCCAGGAAGAAAGTCGTGTAAGAGTCTTTTGTCAGCGTTGCATGAACTGTCCACGTGCCTCGAATATATCTCTTGATCAAGTCCAAATGATATTCCATCTTACATTCAAGCGTTCAGCTGCATGAAGTTTCATCGAAATTGATAATTCTAAATGATATCTGACTGGTTTGAATATCTGTCCGACATTCTGAAGCCTCGCCTCGCAATTCATTTCGAGGTAGCACTCTGCTATCTAACAGCAGGAGTTAACAGAACTCAAACCTATTGGTCCGTGATATTCAGCACTGCAACTCTTCACAAATTAGACTAAAAGATCGAAGGCCCGGTCATTTTCGCTGTACAACTGTTTCAGATACGAATCACTTTAGGCCATTGCATTTAGATTCATAAATACTGTGCACGTTGAATCTCTCACACAAGTTGCCCAAGGACTGATCATGTGATTCCGATGGAATATTGGATATTAGCTTCTACCGTTGTACTCGGGGTCGTTCAAATGAGATTGCAAACTCATTTCTTCTGTCTGGTAATATAAAAGGTTTCATGCAAACGAAGTAAAATGACTCTGAAATCCTACAATGCTCACTTTGAAAACGTATACCACACGACAGTCCCCATCAGTCGTAAGACTAACAGGCCGGTCAGAACGCTATGTCATAGCATTGCTCAAATATTGCTAAAACATATGGCACACAAATTCGTTTGGTTGACGAGCATTCAAACGAATCGTCCGCTGTTGTTAGATATCGCTTTATCATTGATATCGACGACACAGGTCAGCAAATCTAACCTTCGCTGTTCATTTGAGATTCAGGAGAAGATTGGCATAGTTTGATCATATCGCGTGCATCCAATTTGATGTACAGCCAAAATAACAACAAACCTCAGGACTGACTAGACGTCGATCAGAGTTCAAAAGTAAAATTCGCATAGACGGAATCTGACCTCCAGTCTACATGCAAAGCGAGATCATCAATCATCAAATTGGAATGATATGATTGTTAAAAGATCCGTGTAGTAGTTCTAGCCTAAGACGAGCGCAAGATACTGAACTCTTCAAAGGTGCCAGTGTAGAAATATAAGGGTCAGGGAATAACCTTCATCTAGAGGTCTTATCTGGAATTCCCCAGTTATGGGGATCCCAGCTAAGAGTAGTGGATTCATTAAACTCAAGCCACGTGTAAGAGTTTAAAGATTGTTCTGCATCCTCGCTCATTCAAGGATGAGTTAAAGATTCCAAATAAGCAACCACAACCATAACTGCATTGCAAAACTTTCCAAACTTGGGACTCTGTCTGCACTTAGTCTGTGGGATTGCAAGTAGGACATACGATGTCATGTTATTCAACGATACCAATTCACGCGACTCTGACTGACAAGAGAGTTGAGGATGGTAGCGAGCTAAGGCCAGGTAGCAGCTTTAATGTGCTACCAGCTTGATGTTGTGATGATGATTAGAGACAAGCTCATTTCGACTGCGATTGCTCAAGTTTTCTCGCCGATAGGCACTGGTCATTCGAGCTTCCTACACGTGTCTACATACTTGAAGAGTATCGTCGCCTGTGGGGGAGCTCGTATGGCTAAGAGAGACGTAAAACTCGAGTGCTGACTCTATGCTGACGAGGAATCTTCCGACGGAGATTTAGAACTCTAGCATGCATTTGGAACAATGTCACATTTGTGACATTCTTCCCAGCACATGAGCACTCGACGAGGTCCCATCTTACTCTCGGACCCGCACAACCTGGAATCATCTTTGGGTCATAGCACCACGTCAGATGTAGTTGAGAGTCCCCCGAGAAGTTACTCATATCATCTGTCCACCGGGAGCAATTCGCCGAGGTAGATGTGCTCCATACTTCTAAGCACATCTGACCCCGGTTTTCCACGACCACACGGCTCCAATTATAAGCAAATCAAGTCCTGTTGGACTCTCACAGCACTGGCGAGCTCATCATGATCACGAGCACTCGTAAATCCTGGACGACTTCGATGAAATTGACGCATCACTTTCTTCTTGCTGCCTCAACACTCCGCACATTTTACGTAATTACGTGACCAGCTTCTCAGAGCCATTTGACGAGTGGGCACAACAGAATGGAGCTTGTCCGACACAAATAGGTAGGAACTGGAGGCTTCTTCCTCCATCTCTGGCCAGTTGCAGAATCTACACTTCTTACACCTCAATAATCTGCTCGGAAGAGGATTCTCTCCGATCGTGATGTGTCAGAAACCATTCAATTGGCACGCATCGACCGGCCTCTGCTGACCTGTGGTTCTCTATTTCGACTACTTATTCGGTTTATTTCGTAAATCGAATAAATAAATAAAAATATATAATAATAACTTTTTTTAAAGTAAAAATTCAAAGTACAAACAATATATGATCAGTATTACATGTGTATTTCCATATTAATTGCAAACTATATCAGCATGCACAAAGACTTGAACTCTAGGATGAAAATGTAATATTATTTAATTTTCATATTACCTCCATACCATAATAACATGTACAAAAAATTAAATTTTTGATGAAAATTAAATGTTTTATTTAAAGATGTTAGTATCAACTCAAGTACTGGATCAAAATCTATTTGCCTAACTTAGGTTTGAAGTAAAAAATGTTATCATATATATATCATATCATATATGAAATAAAGATTTTTCATATGATAAAGTACGTTAATTTAATATATATTTTTAACTTGAATAAAAATTTTATTGAATAATTTTGATAAAATTGAGAAGCGAGGATTCAATTGTATTGATGGATGTTTTGATATTATTAAAAATTATGTTAATTTTTAGATGAATTACATGAAATACACATACAATTTATCTTGTGAAAATCATTTTGAAATAAATATTATGTGTTTAAAAATCTAAAATAATTTATTTTACATAATTTGGTTAATATATATTTAAAAGAGAAAAAACACCAAAAAATTTCAAATATTTTTGAAAAAATGAAAGTATTTGTAGAAATTTTTCACAATGTGTAATTCTATGATGCAACTGATCAACGTTTGGAAAATATTAAAAATTTTGATAAAAAATCAATTTCAACACTTAAAAACCAATGTTTAAGATAAACTATGGCCAACACATGATCGCTATAAAAATTATTTTCGAAATAGATAGTGCCAAATTTTAGTATAGCTAACAAAAAAATTGGATTTTCAATTTTCAATTCAAATTGGATAATTAATTTTAAATTTTTTTTATCTATATATCAATTTAAAACAGATCTTATCTTTTTTGCTTCAATTTCACATCATTATTTATCTTGATCATAAAATATTGAATATCTATTTGTGAATCTTACATAGTGAAATTAAAAATTTAAAGCGTTTTTTTCCTATGTAAACTTACAATGTAATAAAAAATCGCTCATGAACAAATATCAAATATGTAATAAACCTATTTTTCAATTCAAGATTTAACTCTAGTAAGAAAATGTGGAAAAAAATAGTATTTCAGTCATATGAACCTATTAGCGACAGTGGGATCATCCGAGAATCACTTGTCTCGAAAAAAGCCAAGATATCTACGAATAATCATTTGATTGACTCCAAAACAGTGCCAATCGTTTACATCTAGTCCATAGGTTTCATTCACATCTTCAGTTTTTATTAAAAAAAATTAAGATTGATGTCTGACCAGTATTAACTAGTACTGGCATAATAGGGCGCCCATGATCTTACTACTTAGGTTTGATGACCTTGACTGCAACTTTCGCCTTGCTTGTCTTCTTCAAAGCAGATTTGGATCGCGTATCTGTCCTCTCAGCAGCGACTTCATCAATCATACCGGTAGGAAAGTTCCTTTGGAGGAATAAAAAAGTACTTGAGAACCAATGAACTCAATTTCTTGTTGGGTAATGTTTTCATGTTAACGTGAGGAAGCTTTACATTGTACATCTTAGTGATTTCATCAATATTATGCACGTCGTTGCCAAATAGATCAGACAAGACGGACTTGCTAATCGAATCAATATTCGATGGAAGAATCGTCGCAAACACCTTCATGTCGCTGTCAAGCGTGGTCACAAAATGGTGCATGGACACAACAGCCGGATTGATTTCAAAGAAATAATTGCCGGTGTATTTCACCAACATGGGTTTGAAATATCTCGATAGCATTGGAGTCCAATTTGTAACTCTATGGTCTAGTTACTCACAAGACATCGATTTGATTGCGTTCAGCTAAGTTATAATCGCAGCAGGAGAGTACAAGTTCATGGTGCGCATCTTGTTCCGGCACCATAGACCCGATCAACCAGATTGTGCAATGACATCAACACGTAAAACATCAATACTACATTGTACTTGTTTTGTCCGACAAAGTTATCTAGTATTAGTAACAAAATTTTTGGTAAACACACTTGTTGTCGAAATTGGAGACGATAGAGAAGACAAAGGCTGCATGAAGCTTCAACACCTTTTCCTTGATCATGTTCGTCGTAAATAATAACGTTATTCACATTGTTGTTAACGTCGACTATAACGAAATTCTGCATCATGAGATTAGAATTAAAGTATTGCGCCTATGGACGAGAATGCCCACAAAACGAGTCAAAACTGCAACCAAAATCTTCAGTCTGGACTAGTATCTCAGGCGAAGTCTTATGTTCAATCGACATATCATCAAACGGATCTTCACAGTAATCGTTGATAATCATCTCAGTCACTCATTGTGATGGCGCATGTCCACCGACATAATCTTTCACGAACTTTGACATTAAACGCCATTGATCGATACAGCGGAGAGATACATCTTCTTCTCCAAAAGTACATGTTCGCACTCAACATCGATGAGATCATCTCTATTTAATTGAATTTCATTTCGAACACATGCATCGAAGACGTACTGAACGGTTCTCGTCAAGCGCAATCCAAGAGCATGAAGATTGCGGTACTGGTACAACGACTGAAATTGATCGTACTTTGAATCATGCTCTTCATCTTCATCCAGAGTTTAGTTTAAGCAACATTATACTCTACTAGGTTTGCAGAGTGAAATCCCTGCTCTAGTTCCCACGTCTTGGCAGTTTTCAGCGTTGAGAGCCTGTTTATGAACATGAAGATAGGTTAAAAGCTTTAGGCACAAATTGTGAGGTCTTGATTGCTTGACATTTTCAATATATATTTATAATTAATAAATGTACCACATTCTATATTTTTTAAGATAGTTGTATTAAATAAATGTAACATTCTTTACAATATTCTATATATTTTAGCAAAAAGAAGTTGTTAATTTTTTGTTACACTTAAAAATAAAACGTTGATTTAATAAAGAAAAAGCATTGAAAAGATTGTTCATTGTACTTTACATTATACAGTAAGATTAAAAAAATTATTAAAGTCATTTCATTACACATGTACAAGATCGATGTTTTCAAGCCTATAGTAGAGGCTTAACCAGATTTTGAAATTTCTAGCTCTATTCCAGAAAGCACATATGGAATCTTTATCCATCGACTCTATTAGGTCATTTTCGCTGGTTGAATGACACGATGTACATTCAGGATCACTACCAATTAAAATCAGAAAATGCTAGAAAGAATTGACCTACACGGCATTGTATGCAGGTGGTTTGATTCACGTATTGAAACTTTTCAGTTCACTTACGTGGTCACAATCTTCCGGAATCACAGTTCTGTATGTTTCACACATCTGCCGAGGTCTCAATCTTTCCTGACACGGTAGATATTTTATGTTTTAACATGACTGTTACACTTTCGAATAAACGATCTTCCGACGTGAAGATCGACGTGGTATGATATTTTCATACTTGAATGTTGCAGGTAGCTTCACTATTTTCAGAAAATATTGTGTGTCAGCTTACGCTGAAACTACTTTCACTGAATCACTATCATCGTTTGCAAACTACTTCTCGCTTATGGAAGTCCGCTACTTCCTGAAAAGACTTGCAAAGGTAACAGAGCACAGCATCGCCCTCTGCAGCTCCACTGGTGCGGTAAGAGCTCTACAGACAGCGTGGTCGAATTTCAGTAAAAGTAATTAGTCCTGAAGTACACCATGCAATGCCCTGATACGGAGAGGAAGGATGACATGAAAACATTCATACAGCAAGTTCAAGCCTCTTGAAATGACTTCTTCTCAAGTACGATGATATTCTTGAAGGAACAGACTCGACATACTCTTCAGTAATTGGCCATAAAATGACGATTCGATTCAATGTTGAAATGGATGCATTTAACAGATTAAACCTGTAGACATAGGCAACAAGTCCATTGCCCTTCACCAGCACGGAAAGCAACATCAGCAAACTGCACTCGGCAAACATTGGAGAAAGATCAAGATAAGATATTCAAATCCAAGCGGTTGGCAACATCCGAAGGCTCGTGCTGAGAATTTTAACTACAAACAGAACAAACTTCATGCGCTGAACTGTACAATCGTGTCTTGGGGGATTGGCATGCTTGAAAATGATGGCGGTTCCTCGTTCAGGGCATGGAGTGTGAAACACATAGCGTCTGGACTAGCTAGTAGGCAGAAAATTGTTTTTCAGGACATTCTTACTCCTCTGTTCCGCCGTGAGTCTCTTCCCTGACAACGCAACAGATCCCGTTCGCAGCTAGGCCACAGCATTCAAGTTTTTACAGAGTCACAGATTAACGTTCACGTTCTTCGCAGAGAGTGTCGTCGTTGATGGGGATAAAACGTAACCACTGACAAGTGCTGTCTCGATTTTGCATGCACAGAGACTGGTAAGTTTTGCTCGTGACACTCGTTCCCGGACTGGAGAAGATCTTTCACGGCCAGCCAACTTCGACCAAGAGTCGGTCGGGCAGACGGAAGAACAGACGAAAGTACACATCCACCAGCCTCTTAAGTGGTCAGAATTGGGGGCAGGGCATCTTGCAAGGCTCCCAGAATGGGAGCTTTAGTGTCTGGGAAGCAGGTCATGCCTGGCAACTCCGTGACATCTCCTTCGTGGGTGACAGCGACGGGGAAGGGTAGAAGGTGTCCCGACAAATCTACTGGCTCCTCCTGCGTGTAGTACGCCCACAACTCATCCGCAATGGAGTTGACGGTCTGTACGCACTCCAAAGACTGCGGGCTCAAGAAGCAGTTTTCAAGTCTTCCCATGTGCTCAAACCAAAGAGACATTCTGAAACCGTGCACCTGCCCATGAGGGAAGCCCTCGCTGTTCAACAGATGATGCGGCTGGTATGCACCGATGGCGATTTCAGAGTCTCGGGATCCGTTCATTGATCGCTCGTTGATATTCGCAGATCCCACAATGATATATTCGTCGTCAACTGCGTGACAACAGTGTCAAGATTCGGCTAACAGAGAAGAAATGGGAAAAAAACTGCACCGATGAAATGTGCTAGTTGAAACAACTCTACGAAAGCACTGAGTTCCACAAACAGGATACGGGACGATTCCACTGACAAAAAGCAAAGACAGTAAAGATGAATATTAACAATAGCATGTGATAATTAAGAAAACTCTGCAGAGGCACAGGGATACTCACCAATCATCATCTTCGAGTGGACATATATCATAAAACGTCTGTTCCTCTGAGCCAAATCGTAGTCGGATTCTGGCTCTGGCTTGCCGGTTGGCTCATACTCCCCATCCTGGTAAGCCTCACGGTTACCGAGACAGTAGAAATTCAAGTAGTCCCTTGGACTCTCGTCACTTCCAGCGGCGTGCAGTGCTTGAGCGATCAGTTTGTACATCATTTGCAGAGTCCTGTGCATCCAGTTAAGAATAGCCTGGACCGATCCACTCTCGGGGGCACCCTCGGGCCACATGGGAACCACGACGTAGACTGCAAATCGCTCGCCGGCTTCGATCTTGCTCACAATTTTCAGAGCCAGCTCCATGGGGATGAGGTGGGATGCTCCCGAGTCCCTCTTGTCGTCCCATCCGAATGCACTTCCAAGGAAGTACTGGTTCTCGATGTAAATGTAGTCCTTGGCTCGTCTGATAGCACTGATGTAAGCGTCCTGGATGGAGCGGTCGATGACACTATCCTTTCCACTGACAAGACCACACTTCGCTGCCTCGTCGGGCTCTTCGGGGAAATCCACAGCACCATTGTCGATGGACCTGAACAACTGAACATTCCAGGTTTCGGGGTCTTCCTCCTCGGTCACATCCGAAGGTGGATCGATGTCATTCTGGTCGACGATGGTGACCAGCCTTTCAGCGTTATCGGCTCCTGCCTGCTTCCTCCATCTCTGCTCGAAGTTGTACAGGATGTCCCAAGCAACACGACCCTCGACTTGGGCATGAATGTCGTGCCATGGCTCACGAGGGCCTCCGCACTCGATCGAAGCGCCCGCGAAATTAGGCTGATGGAAATCATCGTGATTCACGGTGGCCAAAGTGCGGAAGATCGGGTGGTGCTGGGTATCATACCGTCCGTCGCACAGATCGATACCTCCGACCAAGCTGAGAATTCTGCGCTGGCCGTCCTCGTCTCCCCCGGGGACAGGAGCATCGACAATTAAGGTCTTCTGGTGATGGGTGAACATGGTACCGATCTGGAAACCTTGGATGATGCTCAGGCTGTCATCAGGGTTACGCGGGCAGAGAATACACTTCACTTCAGTGTTCTCGAAAAAGTTGGCAGTGTCCTCGTCGTGGGTGGCCATGAGACCATCCCTCTTCAAAAATCCGATCGAGGTTCGGTCATCCCAAACCAGCAGATTCACCTTCACGCCCTCAGCGGCCTTGCGCTTCAGCAGCTCGCCGAGAGTCACGCCTTCCGCACCTTCGATCATCCTGTCTTCGTCGCGGATGAGCTTGATCTCGGTGTACACAGACCACCCGGTGATGTAGATCAAATGCTTCGCGCCCATAATCATCTGGTACGCATCTTCCCAGCAGCGAGTGGGTTCGTGCTGGCCATTGTCGAGATAGATTGGCGGCAAGAAATTGTCGGCCATGTGCGCGTCTTGGTAAAGGCGGACGCGGCATCCCTTGCGCTGCTGGAAGAAGGTGTAGGGAACACCAGGGAAGTCAGGGCTGTTGATTCCACGGCCCCAGCACTCGTCGTCCACAGCCGCGAAGTACTGCATTCTGAATCGCACTTTCGCTTCGCCTCCCTTGACGGGATCGCCATTGTCGCGGAACAGATCGTACCAGTCATCGATCACGCGACCAGACAGCACCTCGGACACGGGCACCTTCGCCCGCCCGATCAATGTGGCTCCGATCGTATTGTCGTCCTTGACGGTGATCACCACATCCGGAACAGAGTGCGCTGCGTAGATGCGGAACGACTCGTTCCAGACCGGGCGCACGGGCTCCTTCTCGATGATGCGAGTCCTTCCGACTCGGGTTTTGCCCAGATCCACAGTCGCGTAGAGCCTGCTCTTGCCCTTCCCGATGCCGATGGTGTCCTCGATGTTTTCCACCAACTGCATCCAAGCAAAATCGTGTCAGCCCCTCAGACCACCGACACAACTCGATCCTAACGACCACGACGACGCAGCGATGGATCCATCCATTCTCCGACGACACTACGATACAATCGCTCGTAGTGTGCAAGGAGAACTCGATTGATCCATTCCCAATGTCAACTTTCTTCGACTGGCTTCGACGGCGGCGAGCTTCATGACAGTCAGTGCTTCCCACATCGTCGATCCCCCGACTATCCTACTACATAACAACGAGGGACTGACAGACAAGGGCCTCGTGCAATTGTTAAAGAATGACGAAATCGCCATGCGATCTTGGGTGCCTTGAGATCCGTCGACTGAACGAACCTGTCAAGGGACCCACGACATTTGGCTCCGATGAGTGGCACTGACAGCCTCTAAAAAGTGGACCATAGGTGAGCTGGATCCGCATTCTCCTCCGTAGCCTTCTGCAGTCATAGACTTGAGAGACATGCAATAGGGGAGAATCATGTCTAGCTCAACGACCCCAGAACTAGCTGAGCGCACCCAGATGCTTCGTCGCCATGCCTACTCAGCGAATCTTGCGATTCGGACATTCAGATACGGAGATCATGTCGAAGCGGGGGGTGTGGGGGACGAAGGCTTAAGGACATCCCATTTCGGTTTACTAACCCCCTTCCGGATTGAAGTGACTCCACACCAAAAGCAGGAGATGAGGAATAAAGAAGAAATAAAGAAGCTGTAAGCAAAGACATCCGATCAAGTTCGCTTAATAGTACGACAGAGCCCAAGAAGAGGAACAGGCAGCGTGAACTGTGTGGAACGATCTTGCCGGACGACAGACCTCGAACGAAGACAGAGGATCTGAAGCGTGATTTGACAAGCACCCGAGGGAGGCAAGGGGCAGTATGGATCCTGGCGATTAATGTAAAACCTAGGATTCAGGCTCAGAGCAAGTGATGGCTTGGGCTGCTTTTACGCTCTCGGCGCCTCGCGATTCTTCTCGTCTCTGGCATGATGAAAGTGCGCCAGGGTTTACTAATTTCGCAGTTCCAGACATTGAAAAATGACGGCACACAGACAGGGAAACAAACATGCTCGACTGATCCGGACGAGGTCAGAATTTTCCTCGTCGACTCGCATCCCTATAATGGCTCTCGACGACCCCAAACTGTCGTCCGCGACTTTGTTCACTTGCTTTGAGCTCGCTCGCAAGGAGGCGTCGTTACCATGCCGTCCGTGGCCTATCTACTGTCGATGGTGCTCGGAGGAATGGCTGCCACACTTAAACAGTCTGGAGTGGAAAAGAATTCAGAGCCGAACAGAAAGGGCCATCGCAGGGGTCAGTCAGTGAGGGCGACATCTCTCTCTGCCTCGGTCGCCTGACTGCAGCGGGGCAAGAGTCGGAAGACTGAAACGATCGATTGGAACGAATAGCTCTCGGCCATCATCGTATTCGTTATCGAGAGACCCGAAAGGCCTCTCGGGGAGAGCAAAGCTGAACGCGGAGAGAAGGACATGCATCTCACCTTCCGGAAGAAGAGGGGAGCACCTCCGCTGCTGCGCTCCTCATCCACCAACCCATCGGCCTCGTAGATACAAACATGTAGACACCCGTGAACCAAATAGTTCGCCATATTTTTTCTCTAACCTCTCCGCCTTCCTTCTCGAGGCTCCCAACGCTGCGCTCTCAGAGACAGAGCCAAATCAATTCAATCGAATCAAATCATCCCTCCTTTTCCACAACTCCACCAACCCACAAACCACAAACAATCGCAGCTGCGGCTTCTATCTCCACGCTCAACTCAATGCTGCACGAACAAAATTTAACGATTCCCAAGCTTAACCAGACAGCAGTCGGCAGCACGGAACGAGGAGAAGAGGCTTGAAAAGCTTGAGAACTCACATTATAATCCCTCGCTGACAAGCTGAAAACCGAGAGTCCCGTCCCGATCCGCGATCCAATCCAAAGCCGAGCCGACCGGGCCAGCAGCAGCCCGAGCTCTACTGATCGAGTCAAACCACGAAGGTGAGACGAGGATGATGATCGGGGGCCGACGCCAGTGAATCTCGTGCTGGCATTTAAGAGCAGCTGATTTCCGCGCTTTCATATCTTGGCCATGCCACGCCGTGGCCGGACCGATGCCAGGGGTCACGATCCACTTGGCACAGACGCGGGTCGAAGACGAGTCGACTCGACTCGGGAACTCCCGTCGCCGTCGTCGACATCGCCGTCGCCGTTGGATCTTTTCGACAGGGCGTCGTCGACGATCGACATCTCACGTCGGAAGCGCGAGGGCATGCATTTGTCTTCTGTAAAGCTTCGTTCGGCCCAGGGCGACGGTATTTTTCCGAAGTAGGTGCACTCCGCTACGTATATAGGCGGCACATGAACCAATGCCGGCCTGCAGCGTGGGCTCTGATTGTTATCACTTGGCCGCCCGCGATATTCGAAAAGCCCCTCGGCCATGTCCACTGCGCTCGGCTGCGCTTGATGATCTTTGTTCCCACCGGAGATTGAAGTCTCCTTCATGGAACTGCACTTCACTTTACTCCACGTATTTTTCACTGTCATGGAAAAGCACCAATAATTCGCGTTCTGTGAGACCTAATTTTCTACTTTTACCGCGAAAATATCCTCTTGTCAGTGCACATTCTTCATTACCCTCGACGAGGACTCTGTTTCTAAAAATCTCTTTGTTTTGTTGCACAATCAAGGACCTGCTATGATTGACTTCGGTATACGGTATTGGTGTGCACGGGGGAAGCAGTCTATCATTCGTTCACATGCGTTTCTTCGCATGCCATTGACACGAATATATAAACATCTACGATTTTCCTGTGTGTTGAATCGTGTATTTAGATTGCTACAATTCTTTTGTTAAGCTGTAAGTAATTATTATTTTTAATTTTCAGATAATCAAAAAATTCTCATTGAGTAAAGATAAATGTCACGATAAATTTTAACATTGATCTCAGATCCATATATTACAATACTATCGAGATCATATTATTTTAAAATAATATAAAAAATTTCTTACATGATGTTAAGTTCTCTCTAGCTGAAGAGATAACTGTGCTTGATTTATTTCAAAACGAGATACTTCACATATCTTATACACAACTTTTACATGGTAAAATAATAATTTAATGGATAATTCATAAAATCGATGAATATTTGGGGTTTATTGGTGTTATGTAAAGAACTTTTTTCTGCATATATTTTCATTCTTTTTACTGACTATGTGTATAAATCTTTTTGAATTAAATAGATACAAAATGATGTATTGCATTCAAATAAAATATATAGGACTTGAATGACTGTAAAACATGAATAAATGTCCATTTTTGTTGGCAATCAACATGTTCAAAACTCATAAAGTTTAAAGGTAAAGCAAGTTAATTCAAAATTTTCAGAAACTGAGATATCATGATAAGTAGCTGATATAGCTTGAACGTAATGGAAACCTGTAATTTTCGATTGAACATTTTAATATCAACAACCAAATTTGGCACTATTTACAATATTGAGCATGCTAAACTTAGTGAATATCGTCTTGAGAAAAAGATCTAAGTTTATGAAAGTTTCATTACTAGTTGTTAATCTAACATAATACGTTCCAAAGTCAAAACTTATCTTAGAGATCAATGTATTCAAATTATTTATGATGTATTATTTTATTAATTTAATATTATAATAAAATGAAGATATTTATCACATCGCTTTTCAGAGATAAAAAAAAGTTTTTTTATTCATTTTTAAAATGTAAAAAATAATTTGATGATATGTAAAAAGAAATTTAATCTAAAAAAAGGGAAAATAAAGACTTTGTGAGAAATAAGATGAATGGATATCAATGTGAAAATATCGACTATTTGGATATGAATAAGTTTCTTGATGTTTACATGGATGATTGAAGTCAAAGAAAAGTGACCATCTTTTAGAACTGTCACTCATACAGAAGTCAATAAAGTGCTTGGCTGAAAGGTAGAGTGACAAGTACCATCTTCGGAAGTATGGCAGTAGATTCTTCCTTCAAATAGTTTGACAAAGATGGGAATCTTTGTCCAAAAATAGTCATTCCTTGCATACAACATCATATGTACTAAACGAATGACTATTACCATGTGTCCACGTTCCTCATAAGGACGCCTGAAATGAGAAACGGCGGTGACAGCAATTTTGATCAAGTTTACACCTAGAAAAAAAATGCTTGTTAAGGTTTATGTTTTGGACGTTTTGATCTCCCCAAAGGGTATGCGAATTTGCTTCTAGTTCTTCATCCGGACAACATTGAAACAGCGAGAGAGAATGTTGGAACTTATTGTTCAGGCTGCTAAATCTCCTGAGTGATCATAGTCATAGAAGGAATTGTGCTTTTGACAAGATGCAGATGGTGAACAGAACGAGTAAGTGAGTAACACAGTTTCCCAGAATTCAGTGCATGGGACAACAAGGGTATATCATGACAGGATGTGGAGAAGTGTATGGATAACTAAAAATAATAATACATAGCAGATGTATTTTAATAATACATAGTATGATGTCATGTATACTTATGCCAAACGCTCGTCTTCTTCATCAACAGAAGAAGACGTTGTGCATGTTTTGCGGAGAAAAGTTGCATACCCACCTCTCCACCCAAAGCTAGCAATGCAGAGAAGTACAGTGCCAGAGATGGACATGACCATCGACTGTTAATCGGGAACCACAATATGATAGAATAAGATTGCAACGTACGTAGTACTGCTGTGAATCTCTCCACAAGCACTCTACAGTTCTGCCTGACTCGGTTCTACACTCGATAAGGTTATTTACAAACGAAATAAATATTTAAGCGATTAAGATCCGACCGCATCCTTGCAGACACTTGTCGCTTGTCATGCTAGACGGGTACAATAATATCTAACAGGACGAAGTGATGTCTAGATAACGCTTATTTCTTCGCGAACTACCCTGAAGTAAAAATATTTGATAATCTAACCTGCCACTTTTCAAAAAGATACAATGAAAACTATAAAGTCAGGAATGTGCTCCAGCTGCACCAGAAGATGGGTTTTTCGACGTGGAGGAAGTGTCAAGAAAAATCTCTCGTAAAAGGACCAAGAAGAATGAAACACCTAGCCTTGTTAATTTGTTAAAATGGCTTCTTGGCAGGTAGGCAGTAACATGCAGTCAAAACATAGATTGGGAGATTAGCACATTTTATTTATCGAAAAAATGAAATGATGAATTAAAGATAGTCGATAGTAATTTTTTTAAGAAAATAATCTCAAAGAAAAATGCCGTAAATTTTCCAAAAAATAAAGTAATATTGAACAAAACAATAAATTCACCTCACACAAATAAATAAGTTGCATACTTTTGGTCAAATACCAAATTAAGAAGTAAAACTCATACATTAATATAAAATCATGTTGTTACATCATTTTATTATGTTAACTTTATGATTTTTTCGATTTTTACTATTAAGGTAAATTTGTATAAACGGAAAATTTACTTCATAAAATATAGAATTCTGCTTAAAAATGACGGTGAATATTGCTAAAGGTGAAAATATCGATTAAAAACTAGTTGACATTAAACTCGCAAATAATTTCTTAGAAAGGTAAAATAAAGGTAAAATATCGTCTACAATAGTGCCGGTAGCTCACCTGGATGTAACAACAAACACACTACCTGCCTTGGGTAGCCTTCGCTTACACAACCTTGGAGCTTGGACTGGTATATTTTGTTCCCGAAATCCAGAATTTATATGTAAGATTCATACGTCCTAACTTGTCTGTAAAGCGTCATTAAGGTTACTGCCCGCAGGGTTCCATACTGAAAGATGGAAAAAATCAATCAATTCAAGATAACACGATAGATCTATACAAGAGTATGATAGTAATTACAGTAGATTATGTGATTTTGTACTTTGACGAGTATCTCGCATAAAATAAGTTGTTTCAATGCAAGAAAGATTCAGTGATAACAAAAAAATAATCTTAAGAGAATTGATTATGTTATTCATATCAAATTTTGTAGAAGGAGAAAAAGAATCTAAGGAAAAAACCTTTCTTATGGCCACCTGAACTGAAGTAGAACCTGCATCTAAAACTATAAAACTTTGGGAAATCTATGATTCTGCATGTATGCTAATTGCGTGATACAGGAATAGAAGTATATTTTTAATCCTTGTTAAAAAATTCATTAGTAAATATTTTTTAAGTGTTTATAACCATGCACTATATGTGGTTTGGCTGGACTATTACTCTTATTTATTTTTTACCAGGAGTGCATCGTATTAAATTTTCTTTGAAAGTCTTCCCCTAAGTAGGGAAACACACGTTTCTGCTGTCGGTTGCATGTCTGCCACGAATGGTCTATATGAAAAACTCAGACAACGCCACTAGTAGCAGCAATTCATGCGAATACATTTTATTATTCCAGAATTAGCTTCCTAGATGATTTGGTGAGTCCACATGTATTGTACTCATGATTCCGCATAAATAAATCGAAACTGCCTCCCAGTCGATGGAAAGTCACGACAGTCCAAGAGTTCTTAGTAGCCCCATTTAGAATTTGGCGATCCCAATCCGAGATGGAATTCCATGTCTTAAACCCTAAAACAGCAAGGTTGTAGGCTTTAGGTTGAAATAAAACCATCGTCCATTTAATTATTTGCTTAATATTCTAGAAACATTCGTTATTACAAACGTAATTTTTGTGTGAAAAGTGACTACATCTCTACTTCACAGTCTGGATTCTCTGTATCTGCTTTATCCGAGAGTCGAAAGATAGTACTGTGGTGAAGTGAGACCAATAGAAACAAAATTCAATCTAGCAGAGTAGATAAGCAACTTCCTCAGAAAGAGGAATTCATATATTTCATTAATTTTTCCCTCCTTCTGAACACGAGCTGCCAATCAGTGAGTAGATCTGGCAAAAATCTGTGTCTTGTTCTGTACCTCTGGCTTCGATGGCACCGTTACTGAAGGACTGAAGTGACTGTACTGTACTTACTACGAACATGTCACTTCCATTGAACTGGACAACTACCGTATAATGATGCTTCTCTGATCTCGTGAAATTTGGATCACGATGTTATTATTCAATCCGGCAAAAATAAGACTCTGATCGGGTAGGAGAGCTTCGGGAGACGAAATAAAAACCTTTCC